GGATTAACCAGCAGATTTGCCCCGTGTGATAACGTCCATTGTATTTTCCATGGGAAAGTGCTCTCCGTCTATTTCAGGCAGCCACTTTGCCATGGTTTGGAAGACCACAAATCTGGGATTAGTTAGGAAGAGTCCTTGATTGTGCTCTGGAATACTGACCCACCCCTATATCACTGCTGCTCATTTCTGTGGGGAAGGGAAGCATCCTTCAAAAACACCTATCATCTCTGCACAACATGTAGTTTTTAACTGTAATCTACATGGAGCCTTTGTCCTTAAAACTAAGAGCCGAGAAGAAATGCCCAGACTACAATACATGCTTAACCTCTATTTCTCATTTCAGCTCAGAATCTATACTGTCAGTTTTAATTTTAGGATTCAGTACACACATGCTTCAGTTAAAAGCCTCTGACAAATAGCCGCTCTTCACAAAATTTTTTGATGCCTACCCCAAACCTCTTTTGTCTTCGGTCTAGCTGAAAGTTCTTTAGCAAAAACAGCATTAGGAGAATGGTGAAGGATGGCTGGAGAAACACAGGCTTTTGGCGTTGCATTGCAGCAGTGTGAACAATGCAATAAAGCTTGGGAATAATTGGATTCTGCTCTAGCTGATCTTATTGTAATTACGTGTCCCTGTCTACAACAGGCAAGTAAACAGCAGTTGCCCTCCAGAATCTCTTACTAAGCATGTACAAATACTAAAACACAGAGAAGAAGAGAACAGACAAACCTGCCTCCCCCCAGCATGTTAAAACCAATATAGATCTATAAATTTGGCCACCAAAATGAAATCATAAAAAAGTGAAGGCTGGTGGGGAAAAAGTCTTCCCTCAATGCATCTTGAAAGTAATACTTCAGTGGTCTCTAGACTATTCAAAATGCTTTTATTTATACCTGACCTGTTTTATTTCACATGTGCATACTGTTAGTTTCGGACAAAAGGTCTGCTGAACTGTTGAACTGCTCTTTTATCCTGAAATTGCTGAAATGTTGAACTGCTCTTTTATGTGGAGTAGGAATATATCCCTGTTCTTTCCATGTTTTTTTCTGCCTTTGTTACCAAATTTTCTGTTAAAGAAGTAATGCCAGGGACACATCTACTTCAGTAACTATGAATGTAATGCATATGTTTCTCTTGTTCTGAAGCTTGTGCCCTGGATGGCGGATCACCATTTGCCCTGTCCCTAGTGATGCAATTCTCCCTTGTCCTCCCTGCCCCATGGGAAATTCACAAGCTCTCTTGCCCAACCTCTGATTTATTTTTCTAACCTGCTGTCAAGTTATAGTGATATGCTAACTTCTCATAGGAACAAGTTTCACAGATCCTTTCCTAATAAATGTGCCCTCAACTAGATTACGTGCCTATTGTCTGATGGGCCATTTAATTAGTAACAGCCACAGATGCAAATGGTCTCCTATCTGGGCAAGAAACCCCATTTCTGCCAAGTTGCATTTAAAATCCTGCTTCTACGCAGATCCGGCAGATGATCCTGTAACTGCCAACCCCTTCAATCCCCTGCAGACCCAGAGACTGACAGGGGTTGCAGACTGCTAGAAATAGTGCAAATTGAGTCCACTTTTAGGGTTAGGGTTAGTGCTAGGGAATCATGGGAATTGTTTTTTTTCTGGGACATTCAGCCTTCTCTGTCAGAGAGCTCTGGTGCCACAATAAACTCCAGTCCCCATGATTCCCTAATCCTAACCCTCACCCTAAAAGTGGACTGAATTTGCACTATTTCTGGCAGTCTGCAACCCCCCTGACTCTACCAATAGACAGAGAGAAGAGTTGGAGTTTGTCTCAGGTGGCAGTTGCCAAGGAGTCGAAAGTGGCAGTGAAATGTTGAATGGCAGCACCATGTCTGCCTCATGACATGCCTTGTGCCCTCTAAGGTAGCCTGCTGCACCCAGGTGCAGTGGAATCCGCTAGTTCTTAAGTGGTCAAAATAAGATTCAGCTGCCCTTCTGGTTAGCCTCTGAATATTAAGGGATGGGACTCCATCTTGTTTTTTGCCTCAGGCAGCAAAATGTCATGGCCAAGCATGATATGGTGGTCATGGGAGAAGGAAAACTGTGTATTATGTCCCAGAACTGACCAAGTTTCTTTGCCCAGATCCTCACATGTCAACAATTCTTCCCTAGAACTTGGAAAAGTTACTTTTTTTGTATTATAACTCCCAAATGCCTCAGGCTTCAGGTCATTCATGGGACTATAGTCCAAAAAAGTAACATTAGGAAGGCCTCTGCTTCCTCTAGACTCCCTCAGCTCTGGGAATCTTGCCTATACAACCACACCATTCCTAGCACAAGATAGTGCTGTGAGAGCTCACTCCTCCAGACTACAATGGAGCCACTTTAAGAGAGCTCTTTCAGGGCAGTGGGACCTACAGCATACATATCCCAATAGTAGGAAAGGCTGCATATGTAGCAGAAGGAGATGGTAAGACTCCTGAGGTGGTAGGATGGGCACTGCTACATCTAGCTGCAGTGCATGCACGTGTGTTTAAATGTTCCTTGTGTGAAAAAGAAGAGCTACCTGTGTGGAACAGAATGGACAAATATTTTTCTTCCTGTTATGTTAGATTAGGTGCTTTATTCTAAAGATATGCCAAGAGCATTAGAAATGGTCTCCCATCCAAAACCCTCCAGTTCTGAAGAGACACTGTCCATTTTGCCATCTGCAAGGTCTCCTATTTTATTCTGTTGCATTTGTAAACAGCTGCAAAACAACTGCAAGCAAGGCTGAGGCCCAGCAAGTTAACATGTGGACTATTTACACTACACTATGGTGACAGTATGTGCCTTCAAGTCATTTCTGACTTAGGGTGACCCTATGTTCATTTATACCCTGCCCTTCTCTCAAGGTGGACAGATGTCCTAACCGCAAAGGAGGACAAAGCACAATAAAATGTAGGACATTCAAGGAAAATATAGGACATTACCAAATAAAAGCTAATACCACTCATATAAACATAAATTCAGGCTTCTTAGCCATGCTCAAAATGGAAGACATTTTGAGATCTCTCCAGGGCAGAAGGCTGAAATGTTGGACTTGTCCTGGAAAAGGAGGATGTCTGCTTTCTCCCAGTAATGGGACTCAAAGCGCTTAACATCCTAAATGTCAGGGTTCTATCTTGTAGAATGCAGGGATTGGCTGTTTAGGGAAGGGTACTTAGAACTCTCAGCCAGAGAGCTCTAGTGTTCCTCCAAAGTGCCAACCCTAGCATTCCAAAGGATGCAGCCATAGCAGTTAGTGTGAAGCTGCTCCAAGGACGTTATCACACGGGGGAAATCTGCTGGTTAATCCACACA